AGACCCAGTACATCAAATATGTTGCACACATTAAATATGCATTATTTTTTATTTAAATAAGAACATGATAGATGTATAAACAATTTAATCCTTATGTATAAGTTTAGTTTGATTATAATTGACTATACTTTGGGCAGTTAACCCATTTTGATTACTTAACTATATGTATTGATCTCCACCATATTTACATTCCCCAAAAAGTGTTGAGTCAAAGACAAGGAAGAAACTTCTATTACTGCTAGAGTCTGGTTGATGTACAGTATAAAATACAATCTATTCTTTCACCATTTTGGACAAAGGCAGTATGCAGTCAGAAGTACTCAGGTGTGTGAAGAAAGAGAGAGACTGACTGAAACGTGGTGCCTACAATGGGGAAAAAATATTGGGAGAAGGAAATACAAGAAATCTATAATGCCTTTTGTACTAGTTTATACTGGCAATGATGAGTGAAGAAACAAAGGGATTTCTACTCTAATATTTTTCTTAACATTTAATTTTGTAACAGAAATTTGCATTAGCAAATTCATAAAGTTTGAAAATATAAAAATTAAAATATAAAAAATTAAAAGATGTAAACATTAATTTTGTCTTATACCTTAGATATATAAATATATATATTTATATATTTATATAAACTATAGATATATATTTTTCTTCTTAAGAAAATCCAAATGAAGCCACTTTATTCATGTTACTTCTGGTCTGAAGAAGAGACTCTTAAAGAACACTGTATAGTTTTTGCACATGAAAAAGTTTTTAGATATAGTTTTATACCAAACCCAGAGCAAGCAATACTTACATGAACAATATATATCAATGACATTTTGTCTTTCTACTTGGAGTACTAATCATAACGACTAATTATACAATGACTTATTCTAATTTGTAAATATATGATAAAATTACATTGTAGGTTATTTTTATACTTGCAGTTAATTAGGAAAGCATGTGATTACAATCTCTTGCATCTTTACAACTATGAAGAGTTTATCCCTAAAAATTTTATCTAGGTGAAAGTTCTTTTAGAAATATACTTTGTAAATCATCCAGTTTCTCTCATTTAACAAAGTTTTTAATATTTTCAGTAAAGTTTACTCAAACTTTCTGAAAAATTTTCAATTCGTCCCTTTCTATATACATAAGAACAATACTTAGTTTTATAGTTCGTGAACAATACTTGCAGAAGTTCAACTAATTTCAGACTATGAATTTTAGTAAGCAGATATTTCTCTGCTCAGGTATGCTCACCTGTATTCACATACAACTCAGTAGATTTTACATTCAATTCATTCAAATTAATAAATTCAATGAAACTAACAAGTCAGACTATTGTTTGCTTGTTTAATTTGTCCTGAGTTCCCTGGGAAAAAAACAAAAGATCAATTCACACAATGTTGGTAGTTAAATAAGTTCACTAAACTCTTGTATGCAAACTATATTTTGCTTGAATGAATTATTTTAGTATCTGATTATTTTTGGAAACATGACCTGAAGAAATAAATCAACTCTTTTAGGCTATACAGTACTATTTGCTAAAGCAGAGTAATCTTTGAATAAATGGACCCCTGGTGGCTACTAACCACTGTAATTGATATACATGGTTACTTACATATGAAATAAAATAATGCTTTATATTCACCTAAATGTCCAGTACAGAAATAAAAGCTTATGTAGAGAAAAGGTAAAATCTGTTATTTTCAAATAAAAATTGGCAACACCTAATAAATATTGTGGTTTTAAATAGAGAAAAAATTAATGGAATAAGAGAAATTTGAACACAAATCATGTTTTCACTTACTTAATCAGATGAAGTGATCTAGGAAGCAACTCTACTTTCTGATCGATTCAAGGAGGTTTAGGTAATAGGAAGAGAGAGTCAAATTGATTTATTTTGTCTTTATAGTGCAGAGCTTCAGAGCCAGTTAAAGGACAAGAGATGCTTCCTATAGTCAACTTACTCTCAATACCTTGTTAGGCACCATGTTAAAAATGAGGTAGTTCACTTTTTTGTCATTATCATCATTTTACCCTGGCTAAGTATGGAAAAATAGGAAAGGGGAAGAAGGTGAATCTATTCATTTCAATCATGATGGATTTTATATAATTTGGTAAAAACAGATAAATAACATTAAAAAATTTACTTTTTGAATATCCTTAATCAGAACACAAGTTATATAAAAATGAAATTTTGCCCTCTAACAAATTTAAAAAATAAAACAAATTCCATTAACTCTTAAGACAAGTTACTAGGAAAACAAATGCTATCTCCTTAAAATTAAATAATCATATTACTAATATTTACTATCATGTGTATAACAAATCTAATTTATATTTTTTATTGTATATACACTGCAATGACCCATGTTTTCAATGTTTAAAAATTGGTAAGATATGTTTTGATTCATTTATGAAACTACAAATTAAAAAAATCTCCAAAATGTTAATAATAATGTTCTGAAGTTTGACATTTTATTAATCATTAGTATGATGACTTCAGTATTCAAAAGTTATCTCAAAATAACATAAGGCATAATTTCTAATCATTATGAGTTTAGGCTGTATAAAGCATTTTATAAGCAATCATTTGTGTCTGATAAAAATATCTGAGCATATTTTCTCTATAATCTTATGTTGAAGAACTCCCTCTAAATTTTACCCAACTTAGCCTTTAGGTACTATATTAGTCAAGTATGATCTTATGAATAGCCTGTGTTTCTATTATAATAATGAAAATTCAGAGTTTTAGTAGTCTGTCTCTAATGATCCTACTTAATGGATGGGTAAACTGAGTAATATTCATTCACAAACATTAAGCTAATTGATGAAAACACACACAAATTATATATATTTGGTAAATATTTTAGGTAAGATGTCTTGAAAAACTATGGGAAAGTCATTACAATAAACAAAAAATATTGCAAAAGGGTAACAACTCCTCTATGCCCTTAAATTTTTTTTTAAAGATTTTATTTATTTATTTGAGAGAGCGAGAATGAGAGAGAGTACATGAGAGGGGGGAGGGTCAGAGGGAGAAGCAGGCTCCTCGCTGAGCAGGGAGCCCGATGCGGGACTCGATCCCGGGACTCCAGAATCATGACCTGAGCCGAAGGCAGTTGCTTAACCAACTGAGCCACCCAGGCGCCCATCTATGCCCTTAAATTTAATATGAATATGTGAAAGGTCATACTTTAACACTTGACACATTTTGGTAGAATGGCACTTTAGTTGTTTGGAGATTCTGATATGTGTTTTATTTATGTTAGTTTCCCCAGGGCCTAGAATGGTAACTGGTGTATCATAGACACTTAATGAGAAACTAAATTTTGATTTAGGGAAATTATTGCATGGAAATAACTGTTAAAGATTTCTAGTAAATGACTCTCTTTTTAGTGTGGCTACTAAAGAGATGTATACTAACATACTAAATACTAACATATAGTACAATATAAATGTGTGACTTTCTGAGTACTAAAAATTGTTTTTATCTCCCTGCAAAAAAATGTTCAAGTAAACAATTTTGTTATTTTTTACAATCTTCTATTTTCACAGAGATATATTAAGTAACTACCCCTTCAATATGTAATACTAATAGCCCTTCAAAACAAATGAGGAATATGTGTGTGGAGGTACACACCACCATAGGCAAGTATGGCACTATAGGTGGCATTATTTGATATATTTTCAAAGACATGACAGTTATGCATGGTTTCCAAATTTACATATGCATTTGTGATTGCAATCTGGCAAGTAAAAAAAAAAAACAGAAATAATTAGGAAAACGTCAAAAGTACCAGCTGTATAAATAAGAACTGAATATTGACTCTGAGTATCTTTCCAAGTAAAATAAAACAGTCATATGTTTATGACAAAGAAGAAGGCTGTGTTGTTTTACTTGCCTTCTCATTTAACCTTCTCATCCTCACAAAGCAAGTGCACACTTTCATGTCATCTGACCTCCATTTTTATATCTGCAAACTATTTCGAGGACTTATATGTTAAATGGTAACTATAACTGAAGTTTTGTATTTGAGGTCTTTAGAAAAGGGTGACATAACAGGTGACATATTGATGGTCATCACAGCGCCAATGAGAGCATCCGGCCAGGTACATGCTGGAAAACTTTTATGGTTGTTCACAGCTTAGTTCAAGGGATTAGATTATGCAGGTGATATTTTTATAGATCCTTAAATATTCATAGCAGAAATCCAGTGAGATATGTCTCGTAAAGATTGTTGAATAGAAGGAAAGAAAATGTTCAAGAATTCCCAGCGCTTTCCATTCGGTAAACCTTTCACTTTTCACATACTATTCAGTTTCACTTTACCACTTTACCTACTGAAAGTCTTGCTAAAAAATCTGTCAGTGACTCGACTTTATGAATAGGATATTCACAACTTGGAAATTCACACTAACGTTTGTCTCCCCGCGCCCCACCCCCACCTCTGCCATCTCAAGAAAGAAACCACAAAAATCTGGGCATCTGGTCCAGGAATAATTTCGAACAAGTCTACATTCCGTCTGGATTGGGGTAAGGGGGCTGAGGCTGGGCGAGGGCAGCTTAGCTACCACACGCAAAAGCCTGGTATCTGGTCAAAGAGTACAGCGGGAGCTATCTGCTTTCACGAAGGCAAGTGAGAACCTGCATGTTACCGTGCTGTGAGCAACCGCCAAGAGCCCGAAGTCCACTAAACCTGTGCCACGGAGCCTGACCTCCTGTGGAGACAGCGCTGCGGGGAGCGGTCCCGCGGCCGCCAGCGGTGGGACCCAACTGCTGCCGATGCCCACGCATCCGTTTAAAGACATTCGGGAGCAAAAAGGACCGCAACTCCTGAGGTCGCCAGTCCAGGCGCTCTGGTAAGGGGACATCCTCGACCTCTCGTGTGGTGAGCCCAGAGAAGCCTACTCCGGGACGAAGTTACCTGCAGGAGGCGACCAACGCACCGGTTCTCAGAGCACCCGCCTCCTCCCGCCCCCTCCCCCTTCTCCGCCCTGTCCCTTACCTTGGTTGTTGGAGACGTGACTGCAGTCGCCTGGCCAAGCTGTCAGCAAAGGCAAGAAGAAACCAAATTGCAAAAGAAATTCCCGGACTTCGCAGCCCCCCATGACTCTCCCCGGCTCTCTTCTTCTCCCACTTAAAGAGAACTGACAGCAGCGGGGCCAAGTGTTCTGCGTAGGGTAGGGGTCCCGGTCCACGTCTTCTTCCTCCTCCTCTTCCTCCTCCACCCGGCCCGCAGGAGGTGTCCCGGGGCGCCCCCCGCGTGAGGCCCCGGGGGCAGGGCACGAAGGTCCAGGCTGCCCAGGTGCAGGCGCAGCTGCTTCGGAGGAGGACGCTGCCTGCGGCGCCAGGGAGCTCCTGGCGGCTGTAAGCGAGCGGAATTGCATCCACCACCGTGTCCCGCTCGCGCGAGGACTATTCACTTGGGCCCGGGAGAGCGCGCGCGCAGGAGCGAGCTCGGGCTGTGGTTTGGGGGAGGGGAGCGAGGGGGCGGGGGAGGGCGCCTCACGGGGGGAATAGGAGGAGGGACGACCAGGTGCGGCGGGCAGTTCAGGCGGCCCGAGCGCCTCTCCGGACTGAAGTGGGCACTTGGAGAGGCACAGCAGCTGTGAAGGCTCGGCGGGGCCGTGAGTGGCCCGAACGAGCTACATACAGGCTGCGCCCCCAGCCCCTCGCCTACGTGGCGACGGCAGCGGTTTGCACAGCGGACACTTCCAACTCCGCCGCGTGGGCGATAAGCCTGGGCCTTGGCAGCCGCTTTCTGAGCATCTCCGAGGCCGGACTTAGTCCCCCAAACACTTTGCTTCCCATTTCCCGGCAGCAGCGCCGAGCGCTTTAGGGCGAGTCAGCTCCTGACACCGCTTCCCCCTGACTTCATATTTCCGCCGCTGGAGGGGGTGAGTGCTGTGGGGAAGCGCTCCCGGTCTGGCGCGAGCCTGGCGGCGGCTGCCAACCTAACCACTCCCCAGTTCGGAACGCCCAAACTTGCCCACTAGGGCGAGCGCCTCAACTTTGTGGCTGCCTCCGCTGCTTCGAGTCCTAGTAAGCCAAAAAGAAAGAGCAAGCAGCTGAGGAGAGCCACATCAGGCTGGAGACGGTCGGGTGCCCGGCGCTGGGGCTCACTGAGGTCTTCGCGTCGCCGCGCGGCGGTGACTTCGCGGTGGAGGTCACGAGCATTGTCGCAGTCGTGGGCGCTGGGATTCCGGGGGCCCGGAGCGCCCTTGGCGTGCCCCCGGCGTGGCGGCGTCGGACCGTGCGCTCCGAGCAGCCCAAAGGCTGAGCGGCGCGCGGCAACATCCACGGCTGCGCCGAGTGCGCGGCGAACGGATTGCTCTCCCCATGCAAGCCGCCCCCTCGCGGCACCTACTCCCTCCCAGCGCTCGGGTCGGTGGGAAACCGCAGACTCAATGACTGCTTGGTGGGATCACGCGGCTCTCCGAGCAGGGCGGAGGCAACACGCAGTGCTAACAGAGAGCGGTCTCGCGTCCGTGGCCCTCACGCCCTCGCCGCGCGGCCGAGGCGGGCGCAGAGGCCAGGGCCGGGACCGCCAGCTCTCCTGAGCTCCGCCAAGCCTTGCGCTCGGCCCGCCCGGCAGCGGCGACTCGGATGCTGCCAGTTCGGCGCTAGAGGGGGTTAGTCGACAACAAAAATGCCTCCACTGCTTGCAGGTGGAGGCGACTCCTCACACAAGGAAGGAAAAAGGAAGGAGGAATGCTCTCAGACTAAACTTAATGCGTTTTTTTTAGGGCGGCGCCAAGCAACCCATATCTCTAGTGTTGGGGTTCTGTAATAGTTTATTCGCTGTTATTATTATTAGCATCATCATCATTTTCTTTCTGTCACAGTTGAGGTTGAAAAGCCCACCTCAAAACTCAGAATATTTTGAAGAAATATTTATGGCAATGGAGAAAGCTGAACCGAGAAGAGAAAGGAGCGGTATTATAAAGGGTAGAACGATATTTTCTAAGTGGGCAGAGGGCAATGGGAGGGAAATGGCACAGTGGCAAGTGTTGGGGAAATAGTAGATCAAGGAGTAAAGGGACAGCGTTCGATGCTTACAGAATTCTGCAAGAGAAAGGATCCTCCCATTCGATGTGTTTCCACGCTGCGATGTTTGTGTCATATATGGTGGTTGAAGTTCAGTTATTGGCTTAAAATCAGCTGGAAGCGGAGAGAGAAGGACAGCGAAAAGAGGCCCCACGTCTAATTCAGCTGCGTGGAGAAAAACGTGAAATGCAAGTGATTTTGAGAATGTAAGGAAGGTTTCCGATTGGTGACTGTACTTTCACTCTCCTTAGGAATTCAAGCACTGCTTCTCTCTTTTTTTTTTTTTTAAGATTTTTATTTATTTATTGACAGAGAGAGACACAGCAAGAGAGGGAAACCAAGCAGGGGGAGTGGGAGAGGGAGAAGCAGGCCTCCCGCAGGACAGG